AAGGCAGGAGAGGTCTGCTGTACCATATGTGGGTTAACTCCCTGGCTGGGGATCAAACTCAGGCCATGGTGGTGATAGTGCTGAGATTTAATCCCTAGGCCACCAGGGAGGCCCCATATCCATGTTTAATATTCAGCTTGGCCCCACTCCATAACCTGTCCACAAGTTACATCTCTCCTCCCTAGTTGAGAACTTGAATACCCATGGTCATGCAGATGCATCTCTCCAGCTGTAACAGAAGGCTACCTGGCCTCAAATGGTCAGTAATACCACCACAGTTTGCTTGGTGGTGCTTAACTGTGTTATAATGTTACTTTATTTGAAATTTTAAGATCAAATGGTGCTTTAAGTCACCAGCTAAGTCTCATAAAATCTAAGTTTATGATTATCACTATCTCCATTTTCATTAACTGTAATTCTTTTTTGTTTTCCAATGATATGGATAACTGCTAATAGTTAATTTTGGTTAATTACAGAGTTTCCAAAAAAAACAGATTTTGCTGGATGAGCATGATTTATTCTCTGGACCACTGAATAGTTTAGAAGATCACATGGTCATTATCAGGGCTGAAGTTAGAGACATCATTAATCAGAGTGTTAGCCTAAGGAGTAAGCTAATTTAGGGTCCCTCTACTTTCCGAACTATACCACTCTTTGATTCTATTAATTGCAGTGTGAACAGAAATTTCAGGATTATGAACACATGGTACTTTACTCACTGTCCAGGGTAAAACTCACAAAATGTTGAGTAACCCTTCAACTTATTTCAGCTTTCTTGAAATGCTGTTTTTGCATCACCAATTGTAGAAGAGACTTTGCTTTCTCCATCGTATGCTATTGGTTCTTTTGTCATAAAGTAACTGTCCATATAAATGTGGATTTATTTCTGGATTTTCAGTCCTATTCTGTTGGTCTATGTATCTATTTTTATTGCAATTCCATGCTGTTTTGATAAAAGTAACATTATAGTATAGTTTGTAGCCTGGGAGCATGATACCTCCATTTCTCTTCTTTTTTTGTCAAGATGCTTTGGCTATTTGTCTAATTAGGGTCTTCTTGGTTTCATATAATTCTCAATAGTCTTTGATCTATTTTTTTGAAGAATTCCATTGAAACCTTAATAGAATTTGCATTGAATCTATATAAAAGCAGGTAGGATTTCTATATAAAGGGATTTCCAGAAGGGTGTTTGCAAATACTATTTCTTCTTTCTCAAAGCAAGTGTGCAGATATCTTATATAACAGGGCACCATTGTCTTTTGCCTTCTTTGCCTAGATTTATGTTTATAACATTACTCTCCTTTGTTCCCATAGAAAGGAAACAACTATAAAAGAATTATGCTAATGGTGTTTCAAACCCTATAGACACCAGAGTATAGTGCCATTGTGGAAGAGCTTACCCTTGAATGAGATGAAGGAAAAGTTAGCATGATGTGAAGGGAGATAAATAGTTCAGGACAAGTAGAAGCAGAAACTGCAGCCAGAGTGTTAGACACCTCCTGAGATTGTTCCCCAGGCACATTTTCATGCTTTGAGCCTGTTTGCCCTCCCCTTCTAATGTGTTACGTTCTCTCCCAGGCATAGAATCCCAAGAAAGCTCATCAGAAACATAAATAAGAAGTAAGATTCATGCAATGCCTTTGAGCTCCCTGTGTCTGCTTTTCATTGGCTTTTCTGGTTGCTTTCCATTTGGCCTCCTTGAGTCCCTTTATATTCTGGGCACGTAGAGAAATGCATATTTTTGGAGTGGGCCTGTTCTATCTATATTTGAGTTTTCAGGAAGGCATGCCATTTGGAAAAGTTTTACTTGGTAATAGTGAAGGAAAAAAGATGACTTTGTGTTTGAAGTAGTAGCCTTGTTTCAATGACATTTAAAAGATGGATGTTCACCATCATGCCTCTTTCCAGGCTAAGAATTCAGCATATCTTGAGAAGATGAATGGATTGGAGAGACTGCTTAATACATTATCTTTGTTTTGCTGCTGGCTAGCAAGGGAGAAATGTTACAATGGCCAATAGGTTGTCCTGCTCTCGTTTTTATGTTCATGTAAAGCATCCAATGTGCTGAACACTAAAAATGTCCTGTGGTACTTTAGTTCCTGGAGGAAACTAAAAATAGAGTGAAGAGAATGAATGAAACATAACCCAGCATTTTCTAGCTCCTTCCGCTCATTCTTGAATAAATCAGAAATCTCTTTTCTGGTGCCCTGAGACATAAATTCCTAATGTCTTGTTTCTTGCCCTTGGATGGCTTCTCTGGGGGCTAGAAATAGTGTGTTCATGCCTTCTTTTCTGTGGCTTTCTCTCAGAGGCCATCTGAGGTGCGAGTTTAGAGGCAAGACAAAACTGATTTGCAAGAAGGAATTCTCTCTTGAGGACACAGCTTTGACTATGATCATTTATATCTGATCAGATTAAAAAGGCAGGGAGCTTCAAGCCAGTCTGTCTTTTTGCTTTTAGACACCGTGGAAGAAACTAGTTTCTGCACAGGTGGGTATCATGGTGACGACAAGGTGATAGTTTGATTATTGGGCTGTCAAAACAATTTATTTTGAGAAATTATTTTCAAAGTAAATAAAGGTATTAGGACTATATAAAATATCCATTTTATCTCCTTGCTCAAAGCATGCTATAGCTACAAGTCAGGGAGAGAAGAGTTATCGGCTAGCATGTGTTCTTTTTTTTTTTTAGAGATTTATTTATGCACACAAGAACTGGGGTACAGGCCAGAGGTGTGGGGGGTGAGAGGATTCACCAGAGACAGAATGGGGGACAGAACAGGCAGATCAACTGAAATATACTGCTGAGGGGAGCAGCAGACGAGTCAGGAGAAGTCTGCTGCCCATGTGGGTAGCTCCCTGGCTGGGGATCAAAATGGGGCTGCAGTGGCTATGGATAGCTTCATAAGTTGTGTCTTAACCCCTTGCGCCACTAGGGAGGCCCTAGCATGTGTTCTTTTGAGAGTAACAACAAAACCAACTCAGACTAGCTAAGAGAAAAAGAGGGATATTTCCATCATGAACTATTCGGAGATCAAAGGCAGGGCAGGTTTCAAGTAATGTCGGATGCAGACGCTGCCATGGCATTAGAACTCTGATGTGATTGTCTTGGGCCCCTCTCCTGGACTTTGGCACAGTTCTGAGTCTGGCTTCCCACATGGTAGCAAGTAACGACAGCACAACCATGTCTCCTGTCCAGATCAGGCAACAAGCCCTTGTTCCTTAGAAAGGGGCTGGGATTCATTCTGATCTATCTAGCTGAGTGGTTCAGCCTAGATCACACACTCAGCCCTGGAAATGAGGGTGGAATTCACACTCCCAGTATCACAGAGTCTGACACATATACTGGGAATTTTAAAAGGGTTGAATGAATTCTTTGGATGCAACCAACATGTGTCCATGCTGTTTCACTGTTTGCTGTTAAGGACCTTCTGAATTTAATAGGCTTAGGAAAGAGGACTTCAAGTCTACTTTCTTCCCATGACATCATGTTTGGACTTATTTCTGGTGATTGTTAACACATCATTATTTATTCAGTTCTTCTAGACCCCAGAGAAGTCAAATCCTCCACTTCACTCTAGAGCGCAATATGGTATTTCATAGCCAATCATTTCCCTTTGCTTTTCCTTTCTTAACTTAAATAACTCCTGGTGCAATTTAATCCCCTTTTTGCTTATTTAACATTCACTGAAAACAAAGAACAGCTGGTCTGGATCGTCCATATGATATCTTTAAATCTGTTTTCAGTGTTTTATTATCACTTTTATTAGCTTTACCTCCTAATGTCATGGTAAGGTAAATACCCTTGTTTTCTATGATCTCCAGCTTTCTGAATTGAGGCAGGTTTAACTGACTTTCATAAGACCGTCCTGTGTGTTACAGAAGAGAAATAGTGTTAATGGTCACAGCTCCAAAGCTGTAGGACCTGGCACACTGCGGCCCAAAAGCCCAATTCAGGCTGTTTCTGTAAATAAAGTTTTATTGAAACACAGTCCCATTTATGCATTCATTTATATATTGTCTGTGAGTGCTTTCACTGCTATGATAGTAGAGTAGATGCTATTTGGCCTGGAAAATCTACAGTATTTACTTTCTGGCCTCTCACAGAAAAAGTTTCCTGACCTGTGAATTGAATGAGCCACATTCTTCACTTTAAAAACTATAAAAGATTTTATAGCTAAGTAGTATTCTCTTCCCCTGCCTTTCTGGGTCTTTAAAAGTAATCAAGAGTGTTGGTGGTAGAAACAATGAGAAATGATGCACCTAAATCTAGTTTTTCACTCCACAGATGAGAGACTGAGTTTCAGAGACCACCATGAGCAACCCAAGGCTCCACACATATTAGAGGAAGAGCAGACCTCCCTGACTTCCCATACCCATTTGCGTGCTGCAAGGACTCCCAGCCATGCTGCTGCTAAGTGGGGTGGAGGTCTGAAAGATTTAGTGTTGGGAGGAGCAGTGAAAATCTGACTTACCAGTTTGGGTGAGTTCTAGAACCCTGTTTCTTCATCTGTAGAGTGAAAGCACATAGTGTGTTCCCCCCCGGGGTTTTGCTTTGAGTGAGGCATTCAATATCATGCATATAGGAACAGCTCAATAAATATTAGCTGCAGTTATCATTATCATTATCACCATCATCATCACCATCACCATCATCATCACCATCACTGTCATCACCATCACCATCATCATCACTATCATCACCATCACCATCATCATCACCATCATCATCACCATCACTATCATCACCATCATCATCATCATCATCATCACCATCACCATCACCATCATCATTACCATCACTATCTTCACCATCACCATCATCATCACCATCATCATCACTGTCACTGTCACCATCATCATCACCATCATCACCATCACCATCATCATCACCATCACTATCATCACCATCACCATCATCATCACTGTCACTGTCACCATCATCACCATCATCATTGTCATCATCACCAGCTGTAGCAGCAGCTTGCGTGAGTACTTATCCTTGCTTATCTTGCCTCTTCGAGGAAGCAGGGTTACCTTCCTCTTCAAGGCTAACTGCTTCAGGTGAAAACGGAGTCATTTCCTCTCTGCTCCCTCGTAGATATTACTCAGTTGTCCTGTCTTTCCTGTATCTTTCCGTTGCTCTTTCAAAATTTTAACTGAATACTCCCATTTTAAATATTTTTAATCAACATTGCCATCACCTATTTCCCTTTGCCCCAGTGGTTCATTTCTTTCTGTCTTTGCTCCTGCAAGCTCCATTCTTCTAAACCTGTGCTAGTTGAGCTTAGGGCCTATGGCACTTTATGGAGCTTTTATCTGTCCCAGCATTAGGTAGCTGAATGCTTTTAATGTTTTAATAACTTTTGACAATACCCATCACAGGAGACTTTTTTTCCTTTTGTTTTTGAACCATGATCCTATTCTACTTCTCATCTCCCAGTAAAGCTTTCCCTGCATATTTCTTATTTGTCTCTTACATGTATGTTTCTCAGGTTTGGTGCTTAGAAGTTGTCCTGGACATTCATGTTTTGTCCTGTCCTCAGTGACATCTCTTAAGCTGATGTCTCCAGCTGAAGTGGCAGTAGATTTTAGAACCCCCAAACTGTCCTCCCAAATGTCTCCTCAACTTAATTCTTCCTCTTTTCTTCATGTCTGTGGTTGTAATAGCGACTGTAAACACCTAATATAATACACTTATTATAAACCAGGCTGTATGCTGAGAGCTTTAAAAGTGGGGTATCATTGAAAAATTAACTGAGCTATACTTCATTCACATATTCTCAGTTCTTATCAAATGTCCTTTTTCTGTCCTAGGATTTCATCTAAACAGCACAGTACATTTATTGATCATGTTTTCTTGGGCTCCATCTGAGAGGTTCTGAGATGGATATTTTTTAACTTTTAAAATATTTATTTATGCATACAAGAACTGGGGTACAGGCCAGAATTGCAGAGGGTGAGACGATCCACCAGAGATGGAGTGGGGAGCAGAATACGTGGATTGATTGAAATACACTGCTGAGGGGAGCAGACAGGAGAAGTCTGCCACACCATGTGAGTTTCTCCCTGGCCAGCTGGGGATCAAACTCATGCTGCAGTTTCTGCGGACAGCTTCACAGTGCTGTGCTTAACCCCTTGCGCTACCAGGAAGGCCCTGAGACTGATTCTTGATCACCTTGTTAGTTTTGAGGAATACTGGTCAGGTGTTTTTTACAGTGTTCCTCACTTGGGATTTCTATATGTTTTCTTCACGATTAGATTGGGATTGTGGGTTTTGGAAGGACAATCACTCACATAAAGTCCCACTTTCATCATATCATATCAAGAGTGTATAGAATGACTTTTAGTTATTGACTGACTTTGACCATTCAGTGGAGGTGGTTTTGTCAGATTTCTCTCCACTGCAAAGTTATTCTTCCCCCCTTGTCCTTGCTCTACCCTTACTCAGCCTATGCAGCCCACACGCAATGACTAGGGAGTTACACTCCACCTGCTGGAGGGCAGAATATTTACACAAATTATTTTGCACACATGTATCCACTCTCTCCAATGTCTTCCTATTATGGAGTCATTAGTTATATCAATACGGGCTCCCGGTTACTTATTTTGTACTTCAGTTATAATCCCATGATGTTTTATTTTATTGTTGGAATTGTCCCAGCTTTGGCCCATTTGGAGCTCTTTTAGTTGGCTCCTATTCCCTTTGACATACTCCCTTTATTGTGTGTGAGTTCATGTGTGTATTTTATTCTATTTTAAAAAAAGATTTATTTATTTATGCATACAGGAGCTGGGATACAAGCTGGAGATGTGGTGGGGGGTGAGAGGATTCACCAGAGACAGAGTGGGGAACAGAACAGGCAGACTGACGAAATACACTGCTGAGGGGAGCAGCGGGTGAGACAGGAGAGGTCTGCTTCGCCATATGTGTTGCTCCCTGGCTGGCCGGTGATCGAATTCATGCTGCAGAGGCTGCGGATTGCTTCCTAGTGTGGTGCTTAACCCCTTGTGCCCCCAGGGAGGCCGATGTGTGTATTTTAAATTCCTCCTTCCCTCCATCCCTCCTCACCTCCCTTCCTTCCTTCATTGCCTTTTTCTAGCACTACAAAGTTCTCCATGCTCGCCTGACATCTCTCTTACCCCTTCCACAGTCAGCTATTTCTGCAGGAGCCCTGGTTCCTTTTATTGGAGAATAAGATTAGAATGCAATATCCAGGTACTAGGTTTGCTCTCTTACTGGGTATCATTTTTTCCAGGCTCCCTTAGCTGACAGAGCAAGGACACACATACATGTATTCTAAGTTGTGTATATACAGATCTCTACAACTATTTCTATGTGTAACCATGTGTATCTGTATTAACTGAACATGTGTTCACATTGGTGTTGCCAACTGTAATCCATGATCACATAGGTCATTGTTGCCTTCTCCCCTTGCTTGTCAGTGACCTACCAGCCAACGGCGAGAAATCAGGTTCCTGCTACCTACCATTTATTTTCTTAACTAGTCAATGCCACTATACACCTATCGTTGTTGCTATACTTATAGCATTATTAAAATTGTTAATCTGTACCCATGGGGAAAATCTTTATCAACTAAGTACAATGGTTATGTACAGAGCCTACAGCCTTTAGTCCTGCAGGCTGCACTCATTTCCAATGTTATGGAGCTTAGCACTTTTTCCCCATCTCAGTGACACTGTTTCATGCATTTGTAATACAGTCAGATTATTTTGTCAATTTTAGCATCCCGTCCTGGGACCTCACAACTTCCTAAATGATTTGTTAAAAATTTCTATATATTAAGGGCACATTTTTGTGTTGTAAGGTTTCATGGGTTTTGACAAATGCATAGTGACATGTCTCTAGCATTACATTATCATAGAGAATAGCTGTAGCACCATAAAAATTCCTCTGTGCTTTTCCTCCTTCCCAACCCCCTGGCAACCATTGATCGTTTCATTGTTGCTATACTTTTGATTTTTCAAGAATGTAGCCTCTTCAGGTTGTTTTTTTATCATTAGCATTATCATTTTGAGATTTATCTAAGTCTTTCTGGAGCTTGATAGCTTCTTTCAGTTTATTGCTGAATAACATGTTATATGAATGTGCCATGATTTGTTTATTCATCCATCGATAGATCAACATCTTGGCTGTTTCTAGTTTTTACCAATTCTGAACAAAGCCATTACAGAAACATTTGAGGGCAAGTTTTTAGTGGACATAATTTTTCAAATATTTTAGGTAAATACCTAGAAGTCAAATTGCTGAATTATTATTTTTTTAAAAAGATTTATTTACTTATGCACACAAGAACTGGGGTGTTAGCCAGAGGTGCGGGGGGGGGTGTGTGAGGATTCACCAGAGACAGGGTGGGGAGCAGAACCGGCAGATCTACTGAAATACACTGCTGAGGAGAGCAGTGGGTGAGACAGGAGGGGTCTGCTACACCATGTGGGTGAGCTCCCTGGCCAGAGATCGAACTTGTGCTACAGTGGCTGGCAATACCTTGATAGCGCTGTTTTTAACCCCTGCACTACCAGGGAGGCTCTGAATTAATTATTAAGGCATGTTTAACTTTTTTGAATATTGTATTATTATTCAGGTAGCATTGGCTTAAAACACTAAATATATGATTTAGGGGTATAGATACCTCTACAGAAGTATTTTTATAATAAGTAACTTTATATATTCAGAAGTATGTTACTACTCCATGCCCATCACCAAGACACCCATAATCTGCCATTATAGTCCTATAGGTCCCCTCTCCTCTTTGCTTCCCACCTGCCACCATTCCTCTCTGGTAGTAGCAACTCTGCAGTTAGATTTCTAGGGTGTGTTTCAGTTTAGTTTTGTGTATTCCATTGTTCTGTTGTGTTACTATATGCAAATAATGAACTAGAAGAGAAAGAAATCAAGAAAACAATCCCTTTTATAGTGACATAAGAAGGGATTAAAAACCTTGGAATAAATTTAACAAAGTAGGTGCGTGACTTACATAACAAAATCAATAAGCCTTTATTAAACAAATTAGAAGAAAACACCAAAATTGGAATGATATTCCATGGTAATGGGTCAGAAGAATTAACATGGTTAAAATGATCTTCTTACCCAAAGTAATGTACAGAATTCATGCCACCCCTATACAAGTTGGAATGGTATTCTTCAAAGAAATAGAGAAAATATTCTGAAATTTATATGGAACCACAAAAGAGAAAAATAGCCAAAGCAATTGTGATGACTGTGCTCCCAGACTTCAAACTGTACTTCAAAGCAACAGTAATCAAAACAGCATGGTATTGGGATGAAAATAGACATACAGACCAATGGAATACCATTGAGAGACCAGAAATATGTCTGACTTTGTAAGAAATTGACAAAATTTCTTCCAAAATGACTGTACCACTTTGTATTTCCACTGGCAATAAATGAGTGTTCAGTTCTCTGCACTGTCAACAGCTATTGATATTACCATTTCCTGGGTTTTATTCATTCTACTGCATATGTATTGGTATCTCATTATTGTTTTAATTTGCAATTTTGTAATGACTTAGGATGTTGACCATCTTTTCAGATGTTCACATTTTCAGTCTATTTCTGTATTCTCTTCCAATGGAGTCATAAACTATGTACTGTTAGGTGTTTGGCTTTGTTCCTTGATATTATGTTTGTGAGATTCATTCATCTTTTTGGCTATAATTCTTGATTGTTTGGGTTTATCACTGGATAGTGTTTCATTGTATAGATAGACCACATCTATGTATTAATGTCCTGTTTCTGGAAATTAGTATTATTTTCAGTTTTTTATTATTATAAGAAGAACAATATGAAATTCTCATGTATGTCATTTAGAGCCATATGCACACACTTCTGTTTGGGTAGATTTATCCTAAGAGTATAACTGTTGCATCTTAGGGTTTATGTACATTCAACACTAATAGATATTGACAAACAATTTCCCAAAATGGTGCTTATGTTTATGCCCACTAAAAATGTATTAGAATTCTTGTTTATGCAGCAGCATATATTCTAATCTTCAAAACAATTCTATAATAATTGTCACTATTTTATTTTCATTTTACACTTGGATAAGTCTTAGACAAGATAAGAGATTTGGGGCCTTCCTGGTGGTGCAGGTGGTTGAACGCAGTGCTGTGAAGCTGTCTGCAGCCTCTGCAGTGCTGGTTCGATCCCGACTGGCCTTGGAGCAACCTACATGGTGCAGCAGACCTCTCCTGTCTTGCCCGCTGCTCCCCCCAGCAGTCAGTCTGCCTGTTCTGTTCCCTGCTCTGTCTCTGATGAATTCTCTCACTCTCCCACACATCTGGCCTGTACCCCAGTTCTTGTGTAAATAAATAAATCTTTAAAAAAAAAAGATAAGAGATTTGACCAAGGTCATGTACTTTATCCCCAAGGCAGTCTGACTTCAGAGCTCATGTGCTTTTAACCACTATCCTTTCCTCCCTTCTTGTTAAGGATAGCATCATATACAGTCTTCTACTTTGAAGACTCTTCCAAAAGTTCATTTAGCTAAAGCGTAATGCCAGTGGAAAGTATGTCAACTTCCACTGTGGCCAATAGATGGTGTTTACAGTAGTTTTAAACTCTCATTAAACCTTTGAACACATGAACTCAGAAACATCCTCTTAGAACTAGTCTTTCTTTATCTTGGTTGGTCTAAGCTGGCCTGAGAGCTAGAAGTCTTGGACTCATTGATCTTTCTTTTTATCTAACCTGATTGCACCCCAAATCCATCCATTTCACTAAAAAATAATTCCTGAGTATGCATTCCTTCCATTCTCTCCTTCCTCTGAGTTCCTACTACCCATTCTTCCCACCTCTTTTATATCATCACAGATGGTTAATTATATGCCTGTCTTGTCCTGCTATGTTCTTAACCCCTCAGAGCAGGAACAGCACCATGTTTATTCTGTGTCCTGGGGATTAGACAGAGCGCCTGGCACAGAGAAGTGCTCCTATTTGTGGACAGAGTAAAGCTATCTGGACAGATGCCAGAAAGTTCAAAATGATTCTTCTTCCATGTGGCCCTGTGAGCTCAAAGTACACTGGCCTTGCTCTGCCTGCATAGACTGGGCTGGTGGCATCCTTAGACCTGCTGGAGAATGAGAGTCTTTATTACACAGTCTTCTCACCCAGCATTGTGTCTCAGTGGTGCATTCCACCTTTCTTCTGAAAAACAGGAGATAGTCCAGGCTACAAGATATCTCTCTTTTCTTGGGTGGTTGCCATAGATGTTCTGGGAACAGACCAGAGGCATGCCCAAAGTGTCCACCTACATGGCTTCAAAATGGATTGCTGGTAATTAAGGATTGAAAATGGGTTGGATTGTTTTGAGATGAGGCAGCAGAAAAACCAAGAACAAATCTATCTCTTTATAAGAACTAAATTCCTGGTGTTGGACCATTTGCTGTGGGTTAGGGGTTTCTTTGTAATCATATAGTTTTATCCACTGAGAAAAGGGTAAACACAGTAAGACAGTAACCTTTAAATATCTACTTTGCTCCTGACCTTCTCTTCCTATCCCCTATCCGTAGTTATAACTTTTCAAGGTTGATGTTGATAGTCTCTGACACTTTGGTGTATTGCTGTGTTGGATGAGAAGGCAGGCCACTTGGATGCAGCTCTTGGCTCTGCTACTTACTACGTCTGTCATCTTGGGTAAGTTTCTTAGCTTCTCTGAGCCTCAGACTGCTCTTCTATAAAGTGGGTTTAACAATAGTGCCTTCCAGCTATGCTTGTAATGCAATTAAATAAGTTAATGTGTAAAAAACCCTTAGAATAGGGCCGGCCCATATTAAGTGTGCTCGTTAGTATTGACTTTTTTTTTTTTTTAAAACCAAACAGCTATGGTGATGCTATCTAGAGCATAGCAAGCACTACATTTATTATTATGTTCCATGTTGTAGCTACTTTTATTACCAGGGTGAAAAATGATCAAATGTAAATGAACTTATATCTAAAATATTTTTCTCACCAATTTTACTGGATGGTTTCTGTGCTCTTTCTATAATTGACTTCTATACTCTCTACACATGTCATAATAATTCCTTATGCATGAATTGCATCTTAAAATTTATAAGCTACTTTCACTTAAAAAATCTCATTTGAATCAAAAATCCTTGCAAGATGGACAGGACCTGTTTTATATTCATTCCTGTGTTATTTAAGAGATAAGAAAACTGTGACTTACTGTGATTAAGGGAGTTTTGCAAGATCTCAAGGCTAGTAAATGAAAGAGCTCGGACTTACTATCCTCCAGTCCTGGTAGTTCACAGTCATTGTCACATTCCTTGACTTTGTAGACAAATATTCCATAAGCTGCAATTAAGTGCATATATATCAATGAATAAAATATATGTACATACATTCAGGAGCTTCTACCTAACCACAGAAATTAGATATTCAAAATTCTCATAGGAGAATTCACATCCTAGGACATTTTATTTGAAATAAGCATAGGCAATAAACGTCCCAAATGAGTTTATGAAAGTTTTTAAATTTTATACTCACTAAAGTAACTTACAACAGCACAATAAATAAGGACAGTATTAGTGAGAGTTCACACATTTTCAGTGGATAGCAAGTTAATTCCGGGATCTCCTTTCTCAACAGTTGCAGGAAATAGGTTGTGCAGTTTATTTATTTATTTTGTAGATACTGTACATACAACAAGGTTTTTTGTTTATTTGTTTTTCTGGGTATGCTTCGCCATCTGTTAACTGTTCAATTCCTTTCTGGTTTGATGACTCAGAATTATTGATTTCTGCCTTCTTGGGGTCCACATCTGTCAACACCTCTTAGAGACCCCTCACCTCTCTTCCCGAGCTCAGACAGAGTCAGGATGCAGTAGTGAACCGCACTTGATTGCCCCTACCTCCCTTCTCTCACCCAAGACCCCAGGGAAAACCCCTTTTCCTTTTCTGTCATCTCCTTTATCTACTATTTCATCTCCAAATCTTAGAACATCTTTATTGATTTACCTGTAGAACTGATTTAGCATATTCTAGAACTAAAACTTGCACTGTTTCATAATAAATTACGCCATCATTTTGCATATGGTTTCATTTAATTCAATAAAACAAATATGCATCCAATTTATCTATCTGTTATCCCAGGTCCTGAGGAAAATTCCCTTTAAGACCTGGGATTTCATGATTCATCCAGAGTCATTCTGATTCAGTTCTTTTCTCACTGGGAAGCCAGTGAGATACATAAAATATAGCTATTGTTTATTGTCCTGAATTAAGGTCCATTAAACTTTTCTGTGTTTTCATAACTCCTCCCTGTCCAAAGCTGCACATCTGTATTATGAAAGGATTCTTGATGGAGCTGGCTTTTCATTTGAAAAATATTTGCTAGCTCTTTAGCTCCATTTCTTTCTTTCTTTCTTTTTTTAAAAATATTTATTTATTTATACAAACACTGGGGTATAGGCCAGAGGTGCGGGACGGTGAGAGAATTCACAAGAGACAGAGTAGGGAGCAGAACAGGAGGAAGGACCGAAGTACACTGCTGAGGGGAGCAGCAGGCAAGACAGGAGAGGTCTGCCTCGCCATGTGGGAATCTTCCTGGCTGGCTGGGAATTGAACCGGTGCTGCAGAAGCTGTGGACAGCTTCACAGTGCTGCGCTCAACCTGCTGTGCCACCGGAGAGGCCCATCTTTAGCTACATTTCTATAAGAAGGTTAGAAAATAATCTGTCTTCTTGTATTGTCAATCGGTTGAAGGAAAGCTGTAATTGATAAGCACCCTGGGCCCAGGAGTTCTGACAAAGGAAGTAAGGGAAGAATTCAGACTTCTTTCCCACACTTCTGAAATAGACAGGTGGGCGATGTGATATGCATCCTACAAGCCCCTTCTGGCTGGAGACACTGTGGCATTGACAGCTCCCAGCTCTCATTCTCTTTCCTAATTGCTTACTGCTTAATGGAGTCACTTTGCAAGGTCCTGTCATGATCGCCCCCAAGAGGTAAGGGGCAGACAGTGTCCAAAGACTTTTCTTCAGGAGCACAAATGCCTAGCTCCCTTATCTCAAGTCAGGACAGACTCCATAGGGATTCCCAAGCCCCCAAGCTCCCTAAGGGATGCAAAGTCCTTGGTTGAGAATGTATTGCAGATCAGCTCCTTCCTTTGCCAAATCCTGCTTCCTTCCCTCCAGGTTGATCCCAAGAGCACCCCCAATAAACCTCTTGCACATGAATCTCAGAGTCTCAGAATCTGTTTCCTGTGGATTTCAACCTCAGTCAAATAGTCTAATTCTCTGTACAGTGTGTTGCAAATTGAAGGTAATATCCCTACCACCCCCTTCCCATGGCCAAGCAACCACATTGGTTCTGGGCTGTTCTATCTCTTAAAATCCCATATGTGGTAGTGAGCTGCAGCTGTGCTCGTGACCTTTGAATATTGCTTGGTGTGGAACTTCATAGGAATGCTGGGAGTGTGCAATTCAGTATCTGATAACTCTTCATGAGAATTCCTTTTTGGTAAGTTCAAAGAAAACAAAGACTGGTGTAGCCTACTTTACACTCTTTAAATGCTGATCAGTGTTGAGGTTGAATATATAATAGAGATCATGAATGATTCAAACAGTCCTCCATTAGGAGACAATTGCAATATTGCCAGACATGCTGTGATTGCAACAGACATACTCTCCTATAGGGATGTATGTGAAAGGTAGCTAACTCAGACTTGAAGAGGGGTTTTAGGGAAATATTTTTGTAGATACTGATGACCAGGGATTGGATCAACAAGTAAACCATGGGATCATGTTCTATGGGATCTTGTGGAGTGGGTGGAAGTTTTATGTAGAGACTTAGGAAGAGAAAGGAGCCTGGTGATTTGGGTAACTGAGAAATGTCCATGGCTCTGTCTACTGTATGGGACATGATGGGGTTTAGGGGGCAGGGCCAGGGCTGAGAAGGTCAACAGATGTCAGATCCTGCAGGACTAAGTAAAGCAGTTTGGAGAAACTGATGTTCTTAGAGCAAAAGAGAGACATCAGTAGATTTAAGGAAGTGAGTCATCTGACCATGCTCGTTTTGTGAGTTTAATGCTTGTGAACCGAATTATGGTCATTTATAATATTGCTTAGTATAGTCATATTGTCTGAAAACAAGTTGAAATCTGTGCCCCCAAAGTAATCAGAAAGAAGAATTATTCTCCTCAATATGTATTGGTTGTGCAAGGCTTGGCTTTAAGGATCCAAATAGATTGCAAGAATTCCAAGGACAGAAAATGGAGAAGGTAGTAGCTGCAGGTAGAGGTATGCCAGTCAAGAGCACTGAAGCTGCCGTTCCTGTGTGTGTGTGTGTGTGTGTGTGTGCACGTGTGCGTGTATGTATCCTGCTCTCTGAACATCTCCTGCTTTTCAGTGTGTCTCTCTCTCTCTTTTTTTTTCCTAACTCTTTTTCTTCAATCTCTTTAGTTCTGGGTCTTTCTCGGCCTCTCTGGGTAAAGCAGGCATCTAAACATGTCTATTAAAGAAATTCCCCAGAAAGCAAGAGCCTCCAACCCCTCTGAGCCATTGCCTAGCCCATGTAGGTCAACACAATGTCCAGAATGACTTAGTTGAGTGGTTATAAGCTTTCAGTCTTTGGAGAAAGAGAGCTTTCTGTCATACACTGTTTTAAGACTTAATAGAAAGCATATTTTTTTTCCTCTCTGTTATTTTATTCATGTCTAAGCTTCCTTAATTAAAAAGTAATTATATTTCCCCTCTGTAAATATTTGATCTTAAATTCTGACAACATGTTGACATCAATACTAATAGGAAGGTTTCCCCCAAACTCACATCCGATGTGGATGCCCCAACCCCACCCCGCCCCAATGAGTCACGATTTTGCTGCAGAAACTCATTCTCTTTCAGATCACTAAATTGTGGGGGAGTAACTGAAGGCAGATATTGATCTATTAAGAACAAATGAGAGAAAATGACCAGAACAAATAAACTTTGGGGAACCGAATCATAGAAATCATTTGTCCCTATCAAAACTCCCACTCCATTCAGCTGTTATTTATTTTGCAGAGATTGAAAAAAAAGAAGAACTTTGGCTGATATACTTGTTAAGGTTGGGCTTGGTTGTGTATGAAGATCTCATTGGAAGGGCTGCTGCTTCCTTGATGTTTGGCTTCCCCCCGCCCCAACTCTGTTTGACTGGAGATGTTGCTTCACTAGGGCAATTTGGATCACCTAGTTGATGTTGCCAAGGAAGAGGCCTCTCTGGTTCCGCTGTCACTCTTCAGCGTTCAGAAGTGTTTCTAATCCGTCTAATGATTATCTGCACAGCAGGCAAGCAAGTCTGGTGCTGAGACAGAACTGTGGCTAAGGGAACAGATTGGACTCTCCTGAATATGCTGGGCCTGGAGTTACCTGGTCAGGCTACTGTATGATGAGGCTGGAATGTTCCACCATGTGCTATTTCATTGAATGTCATTGAATAATGATGTTGATGCAAACTTTTTTCCTATCTGTTGGGGCTCCTGTGACATCCAGCAAACCATGATGTCCTGTGTTAAAGGGGGAGGGGGACCAGATGGTCACTCATGCCCTGCCACAAGTCTTAAATTCTGCATTTGGGCACTTGAATTGAGAAAACTGTCCTGTCTCCTAAGCAGCTGTTGGATTCCCTTATAGAAAAACTAGAGAAGAAACCATTTCCA